ATTTAATGATAAATTTAAAATAAGTTAAAATTTTTAAAAAGAATTCAGAGATTTTAAATACAACCAATTCCTATTTAACTGAGAGTGGATTAAATAGATAGCAGATTAACCAAGCATTGTCTAAAAGTTAGTTTATTTTGAAACAATGGAAAACTTATTATTATCAAAGTCCATCAGAATACAGCTAAATTTCTACGGCAAATATAAAAAGGAGAAGAAAAATCCAAGGCATAACAGAAGTGGTAGAAGATGATATTACGTTACTTAGAAATTGTTTTTACTTACAATGGTGCATATTTAAGTGTACATAATCTGGAGTATATAAGCACTGTTAAAGCACCCATTAAAAATAAATTATTAAATCATAAAAATATGTGTACAACCATTAATAATCTGTTTGCCATTGACACCTGCTGAAATATGAGAGTAAGATAAACAAAATATTGTTCTTTCCATTTTTATAGTTCTGAATGCTGATTTAATTTACATAGCCATGTGAAATACAGATAAATTGTTAATATTTTTCTTGTTGACTGTAATGTGGTTTTCCTTTTGCCTTGTACATTTTTAACTCATGCAAGATTATGCATGATTTGGATGTTATGGATGTTATCCCCAGTATTCCCCCTGTTAACTGGGAGTCTACAATATACTGACCTCAATGGAGAGTTTAGTAAGTTATAAATCAAAATATACAAGTTAGGAAATGCTAAAAAGTTAGTAATGGAAATGGTGAAAGGTATTTATGTATTAGAATACCATGCAAATGAAAACATATCTACCATTTCATATTTAGCTTATTCAAGAAACTACAATGATACCAAGAATGAAACAATTTTCAAATATAAACAAAATAAGTTTTCAGATTCAATACAGTTCTTTGATTCTTCAGTAATGTTCTTCAATTCTAAAAAATTTTCCATATTTTTACAGAGATAATTTTGAAATTTAATGATTTGCATATTAGCAAGGTGTATTTAGATCTAAGAATAAATGATTAAAATACTAAATAGCCTAAAAAAGGTTTTCAAAAGTTATTCTGTTAAACATGAATAACAGCAGAAACAGTACTTATGTATTATTCTGTCGACCATGGAAGTTGGCTACTATCGAACCATGAAAGCTACTGGAGATCCCAATTAAGATGCAGCAGTCTGTGGAATTCTGACTGAATTGTTGCCTTTTTATCTAATAAACAATCAGTCTTCAACCTGCTTCATAAAAAGGTTTAAATTGATTTCTACTTATTTGTGTCAATTTTCTACTACTACTGTTTTGCCAGGCATATTCAGCTGAATATACTTAATACATTAATACACCTTTTCTGATGGCAGGATCCCACAGTTTTGAAAACAATCTACTGCTCAGTGTTCGGTAGAAGGCAGGTTCCAAATTTTAATCTCTCCCTCTCCTCCCCCCCCCAAAACATAAGGAATAAAATACAGCATCAGTTAATTTTTCTCCTTGTTCATAAAAGCAAAATGTGGCCTACCAAGAACCAATAAAGGTTACATCAAACAAAAATGCACATGTTATGACCAAGTTGTTATGTAATGGTTCATCTATAACTGGCACTAATAAATCATACTGCTTGGTGATTGTTTCATAGCTGATAGGATAATACATAAGTACCATAAAAACTTATCATTATCATAATTTGAAAGCATCCACAACATCACATCATAGATAGAATGACTGCATAATTTCCTTTCCAACAGCAATAGAGGAAATTTGTTTTTGTGATGTACATAAAGCCTCATGGGAATTCAAAGTGATACTTATTGAGAGCAGCATGCCAAACTGTTTTTCAGTTCAAATCATCCTCAAAATCATTAACATTGCTACAAAAAGTTTATTCCATAATGCAAGGGAGAAATGTGCAAATGGCATAAAAGATTTTGTGAAGGCTGCAATTTTATTGAAGATGATACGAATAATAAATGTCCCTCCAGTCTAGACAAGCAATGGAAGCATTGAGTATGTCTGGCATAAAGTTCACAAAACAGATGAAAAACCTTTTTCCAAAAATAAAATTATAGGTTGGATTACCAGCTGGAAGTTATCTCAATATCATATCAATGATCTACATATATATTTTTTTCCAATAAATGAATTCAAGAATTTTATTCCAAAGCAGAATGAAATGTCATAAGAATATCAGAAAGATTTAATTGCCATGACTAATAAATATTTTCTAAATTTAATTACAGGGAAGAAGATATAGGATTTTTATATGATTCACTGACAAGATATCATCATCTGGTTAGAAATCAAAAACATCTTCCCAGTCAAAAGACCATGGACAGGAGGAGGAAGTCAAATTTTATTTATTTATTTACTTTGACTTGCAGAACATTATTCCATAATGCAAGGGAGAAATGTGCAAATGGCATAAAAGATTTTGTGAAGGCTGCAATTTTATTGAAGATGATACGAATAATAAATGTCCCTCCAGTCTAGACAAGCAATGGAAGCATTGAGTATGTCTGGCATAAAGTTCACAAAACAGATGGAAAACCTTTTTCCAAAAATAAAATTATAGGTTGGATTACCAGCTGGAAGTTATCTCAATATTCATATCAATGATCTACATATCTATTTTATTTATCAATAAATGAATTCAAGAATTTTATCTCCAAAGCAGAATGAAATGTCATAAGAATATCAGAAAGATTTAATTGCCATGACTAATAAATATTTTCTAAATTTAATTACAGGGAAGAAGATATAGCATTTTTATATGATTCACTGACAAGATATCATCATCTGGTTAGAAATCAAAAACATCTTCCCAGTCAAAAGACCATGGACAGGAGGAGGAAGTCAAATTTTATTTATTTATTTACTTTGACTTGCAGAACATCATTCACTAAAATTTCAGTAAATAAAAATACATTTTTAGGAAGAAAATACATTTTTATAGCCATCAAAATATGAAAATAGCAACAGGAAGCTATAGAAGGAATGTCTACAAAATGAAAGGAATGTCTACAGTCCAGCATATCACTCTACTGATTAAACACTATCTATCAAAATAAACTTGCACTGCATTAAAACATTTTACATAATATCTTGACATTTTTACCAGCTAGCTTTCACTTATTTCCTTGCCAGCAATCCATATTGAAAGTATAGTAATTTAAAAAATTCTGAGAATATTGACAAAATAATTTGGTTTGTCTTATTTAATTACGGCAAAGCCTCAAGGGCTATCAACCTGAGGGGAGGTATGTCTTCATGGAGGACTTTCTAAGGGAAACTGGCTCATACATACCTTACACATGCAGAAAACTACAAAAACACCCATGCAGCCAGCCTCTTTGTGGGTTACAAACCTTGGACTGAACTACCAGTTTTTAGCTACTTTACTGCTTGGCCACTGGTGAGCCCATTGACAGAATGAAAAATCAGTTTACAAAATATGCCCCCCCCCAAAAAAAAGAGAGATTTCAAAACTGCTTCCAGCAATTTTACGAATACTGTTAAAAGTGGACACCCATCGAAAATGACTTTACTGCAGGGGTGGGCAAAAGCCAGCCCACTTTGATATGATACTTTGATACAAACGTGATTACGCAGGGTTTTTACTGCGGCAACAGTACTTCCCTATAACTTGAGATGTTTCTACAATGTGCATGATGATGAGGTTTACATGAACAGATCCCAAGATGGGAGATCAGCATTCAAAAGAAAGAAAATGGCCCAAAAACGTGGCATGGGGAAGTGAAGAATCTGCTGATATGGTCATGGAGGATATTTCAGAGGTACATAATAGTGTCTAGGTTAAATTATAGTTAGGTTCAAATAGATAGTGCCATACATGAAATCAACTACTAAAATCAACACATATCTTATTCCAGTGTATATGTGCACATACATATGAATGACTATTCTAGTGGTGAATCAGATCCCGTACTTGGCGAGACTGCAAATTGCCAGTTTATTCGGATCAACATAATTGTGTGAAAGAATTTTTTCATTAAGAAGGTACATGAAAAATAAATATCGATCACAAATTACTGATAAAAATTTATGATGAAAAATTCAGTATTAATGATTGCTCCAAGTGAGATGGAATCTAATTAGAATGAAATAATAGCAAACAAACATCCAATATTTCATGGCTCGCATTAAGTATATATTAATTATTAATTGTTTTTATGGCCCAGTGTTTGCAAATACAAATATCTGCACTTCTATAAATTTATAAAAATGTCTGATTAATCATATTTGATTAATCTTTTTTTCCCCTTCATATTCCTTGAAATTTATGTGCACATTTTATATTCTATTGGCTGAGTTGCATGCAGGACCACTGTGACCATGTATTCAGCACATGATTATTATATTCATTATTTAAATTAAAAAATATGAAATTAAGTGCAAAAATTGCTATTTTAAATTTCTACAAAGGACGGATGCCTCCAATCAGATCCTGGCAAACAAAACGGGTGGTGCAAAAGATTGTCACCCAAGCCCTATCACACTTTGAAATGGCCCTAACCACATGATGCACTAAAAAAGACCTTTGGGCCCATGGTTAGAAGTATTTGCCCTACAGGAGTACCACATATTACTGTGTAGTCAGCAGTTTTATGAAACAAACAGGTTCTGGAAGCTTTCTCTGAAAATAACTTATGTATAAATATCTAAAGGTAGAGATTGCCTTTAACTTTTTTTTTTTTTTTTTTTTTTTTTTTTTTTTTTTTTTTTTTAAATTAAAATTTAGACATTTATTTCTATAAATAGCTTACCACAAATGCAATTACATGCTGCAATAATATATATGAACATGATTAACTATTGTTTCCAAAGGCTATGTCTAAACTGCAATTTAACATAAAAGAAATAAAAATATTAACCATATAATTCTAGAATAAAATAAATAAACTTAGCATAATAATTTTAGTTCATAATTTAATTTTAGATAGCATATGATAGCAATGCTTAACTTAGCTAATTTCCTCTTTCTGTAAAAACCGATGAAAAACAAACTATACCTTTTAAGAAGACGCTCAAAACTAACATGATAGAACAATCCTTCACAGTTAATGCAACTAGAAATTCCCATACCTGTTAAAATGAACGATTAAATAAATAAATATAAATAAATTATTCAGAACTATTATGATGGAAAAAAGCATAAAATAGGGAAGATAAATTGTTTTTAATTTATGATCTATTTTAATAGTAGTCAATTCTGCCCTGCAATGTCCCTAAATTGATAGTAACAGGAAACTTGCAGTTTAGTGCAGAAGTTCTACAATATTTTGTGAATGCATGCACATTATGCACTTAATCATATTTTAGAAATTAACTTACATGCTTTCTAAAGTTAATAAATAATACATCAATTTAAAGATCATTTCAAGAAATTTTTAAGATTTAAAATTACAACTTTATTCTAAATATTATGCAGCGAAAATTCGAAAAAAGAAACTATAAAGTTAATTTTTTTTAAATAGTTCTTATAAAAATTCAGAACGTCACAAGTTTAAATTGCTTCATGATTATTATGCAATTGTAATAATATGTTTAATGAATCTGTAATGTTCTACTATATGTCTAAATTGACACAATTTCTGCAGTGATGATTTACAAGTATAATAAATTATGTGAGTTCTTCTCTTACATTTTCAGGTCCTATTTAAATATCCAAAGGTTATTTAATTAACTTACTTTTCTGGAAGCATACTGGTAGTCAGTTTCATCTGGATGTTTATCTGGCTCACCAAGATAGGGAGGGAATTCAGATCTTGCATAGCAGCCAATACTGTTAAATCTCCTTTTTGTGAGAGATTTCATTTTAGATTCAATAACAAACTATTCTTTATAATAATAAAAATAACTTTAATATATTTTATTACTAAAGTTATAAACTTTTAAAGAATTTTTTTACACTTAAATTACCAAATACTTCATGATTAAGGAAAAGAAACAGATAATTATGCAGAAAACAAGCAATAAAAAGGGGGTATGTTAACTATATATGTGTATGTGTGTGTGTAAAATATCTACCTTTACAATAATAAATTAACAATAGCCCTTTGACTCATCTTTAAATTTGAACTTGCTTCCCTCTTCATTCTAAAAATAGGAAAGCAAGAACTTTTCTAATATAATCTTTACTTCCAGTAATTCTGAAAAATGATCCGTCATGTGATCTCTATTGCACAGTTATTCCTGAAATGTGATGAAATTTTAATCCAGCATCTCAATACTCATCTGTTATGTATCTGAAATTTAACACATTCTGGTAATGCAATCTGAAATATAATCTGCAGTGGTGTAGCTAGGGTGGGCATCCAAGGGGCATCTGTCCCTGGGCGGAAGGGGCGCCAAATTGATGCTACGAAATTTTTTAATGAAATATTTTCCATTTCTGGCACACAGAAAGGGGTGCAAATTCTTCAGTTGTCCCCGGGCGGACGCTAGAAACTCTAGCTACGATCTTGATATCTGTTTACTGTAATTATGCTTTATAAAAAAAGTCTTTGCTGCACAATCTCATTCTCTTTGGTTTGCCTCTCTTTGGTTGTCCTTTCCCCCCTGCTTTGCCTTGATGCTTGCCACACAGAGTTTACCTTCTGCTTCATCCATTATCTAAGAAGATGTAAGCTGCACAAAGTTGTGGAGTGCATGCCATACTCATAAATGATGCTTGTGAACCTGTTTATGCATATCAATATATATATATAATTTATGAAAATAATATTATGTGCTCAAATCAGCAGCCAAATCTGAAGCTTTTCTTTCCTGTTCTCTCATCTTAAGCATCTATGCAACTATTTTTAGAATCCTCAAGACCATCTACCTAAATCGTTATATATATCTATATGGATATCTTGCACATGCTGCAGAATTGCAGTACGAGTGATTTGCGGGACCGCAACAGGTTGTCGGTGGATGCGTTCATCCACGCGTGCTGACGTCACTCTGGCTGCACCTGCACCCCTCCTTCTTCCCACATTTCCTTGTTCCAATCATGTTTGCCATAGCCGATGCACCGTGATCACATCCATGTGGGTATCAGCTGCGATTTGACGTAAGGACCAGCCCGCCCTTCTCAGTCCGATCACCATACCCCTCGTAAAATAGTCTATCTGCTGGAAGTGCCTTCGTTGATGGCGGCCTGGCATTCTCTCCTATTACATGTATCCTCCGGGACAAAACCCAACTTTCTTCGATAATTCGCCTGGCAGAAATAACGACACGAATATTGCCCATTCTGCATGTTCCTTCCCTTATATCTTACTTCACATGCGTCGGAGAACTGCATATTTCACATCATTTGCATAACTCAGTGATGTGCGTCTACTTTAAAATCATAAATTTTTGATCACTTCTTCTTGGTGTAGCAATTTCAATGCTGAGCAGTGTAACTCTTGATATAAATTATTTGTAGTACTTAACATTAAGTGTGAGAGGATACACTTAATCAGCTATTAAACTACAACTGTTTTCTATGCTTCAGACAAATTCCTGATTTCTCATCTGCTAAAAGTCTAGAACTCCAAAAACACACACATGTGTTGATATTTAACTAAAAGGTTTACTACGAAGCTGCGTCTCACATTACAATTAAATTTTGAAAAAATTTAGTCAATTCTAATGCAGGATCACAGAAATTCAAGTAATTAAACCAAAAAATTATTTTCAGTTCTGGGAGTACGACATGGGCTCGATCCCAGGAGAACGAGCTGAGCTGATGTGTTTTTTTTTCCATGTCTAACATGAATAAAAGCCAGCTTTCCCTAAACGGTCGTTCAGACTGGGGTTTATCTGAGCTAATGAAGTCAGTTCCATGTGTCAACTAGCTCCGCTATGCCTGCTGTAGGTCATATGATAAGACATCTTCTGATTGCATTGTCCGCTCTACCTTAGCTGGTCTGCCGGATCAAAGTCGGCTAGTCATGCAACCTACGTCTTTTAAACATTTCATAACCTGTAGGATGGTTTTGTATGAAAGATGCAGGACTGCAAAAAAACGTTGCCGATGCAACAACGCTGCCGATCGTGCCTTGCACTCACATTCACCATATAGAACCATCTTGCAATAATCATTTTTTGAGAATTGCTGACCATGAGCTTCAGCATACAACCATGAGGAAATATCTCTTTTATGGTTGTCTCAATTGAACAGATGTAACGTTTCATACACTATTTGCATAATGTACAAATTTGCACACCAAACTCAAGTTGCATTGAATTGATGAATTTTGCGACACAATTGTGCATGATCTGCATATTGTCTACTCTGTTTGCAATGACAATCAGTAAAAAGATACCTCCACGGGATCTGAACCACAGTCCTCTCAATTATGAATTACAAGCGATATCACCATGCCACGATACGGGCTCGTGTTTCATCCGAAAGATAATCTTTTCTCTTTCGTTCAAGTTTCGTGGCATTACAGTTTCAAAAACCACGAAGAAACAAATTTGCATTTTCAGCGTTCTGGTTTAGCATTCATATCCACAAGGTGTCTATTCATATTAAATCGATGATGCTCTACAACTTTATGATTCACTTTTTCTTCCCATCTCATATAAATTTCAAGATAGGGAGCCTAACTCAGCCGTTTTTCACCAGGTGGCGCTGTAAGCTATCTCATCAAGTAGCACATAGCCACTTTACTATACCTATACCCCAATTTTATGAATATAGCTGCAGTCATTCGGCAGTTAAACGGGTAGTACCGGACTTTAGTGGGTGCCCTGTATATACATACGATTATATATATACGATTATTTCATATATATACGATTTCTAATTTAAATTTGCAATAGCCTCTTAATTATTTATTTCAATTTGGGTGTTTTCTGTTTCTGTTCTAAAAATAGTAGCTGCTTGTAATAATCTGTCTAAACTGCATCATTTCCAAATTAATCTATGTCATATATGTGTGTGTGTGCGTTTGCATGAATGTATTGTGCATATAAAATCAAAATTATTTAAGAAAAATATAGCACTGAATATTCCTTATAATGTTTAAATACAAAATGCACATTTTGAATGGCCAAAAACGGATATTTTAAACACACCAAATAAAGAAAACTTCTCTTACTGATGAGTACTACAGCTTTTAATTTTCAAATATAATGAATACACATCTGAAATGCAGAAAGAAGCAAGAGTCTGAACACGGAGTATTTTATCTAGCACACATCCTACAGGCAAGAAGTGGCAAGGATCTAAAATATACATAAAAATTAATTATGTTTAACAAAAAATGGAATTTATTTATACAAACAGATGTACAAGAATCAGATGTTTGTATCAGCAACATATTATAATCATACAAAAATCAGAAAATTTCTCTTTCAATAATTGTTGCATATTGCATAATAAAAAACGAAAAGAAATAATTATTAAAGAAAGAATAAAAAAATTTAAAAATATGAAATATTCTGAGCAAAGAAAAGTGAATACAAGGTTAAAAGATGACACTTATAGTTACATATTAGTTGCAACAGTGATCCAGACATGTATTGTTACCACCCATGGAAATCAATTTCAGTTAATATTTAAATACCAATAAAATACATATAATGAATACTAAATTTATTATGATGATTTATTTATACTTAATATTATCATAATTTCTTTATTAATAAATTTTTAGTCCAAAAAGGCAATTTGCCCTAAAGGACTATTAATTTCGTTTTGGCATTTTGTGTTGATTCACGATAAATGTGGGTTCACTTTTCAAATTGTAGCCACCAATATTACATTAAGGTATTTATTAAAAAAATAAAATAATACAGAATTGAATAACTGTATGTATGTTTCTCGATGTGATAAACAACGGTACCTAGAGCTATCAATTTTTGAATACGTAGTCTTCCACTCAAATATGGCATCTGGAACCCGAACTTGGAATTTGGTTCATTACTATCATACTTTGTAAACTTTAATGAATTTTGATTAACAAACTTCCACAATTTCAAAGCGAGCAAGGCAACATGTACGAAAGAAAAAATAGTTCTCCACACGCGAGACTGTTAGCGGAAATTCTATCTCTTTTAATTTTTGTGATATTACTGTTGAATTGAATTTTATGGTTTAAGTGTGAAGAACATGATATTTAATAAATAAAGGTAACACACAAAACATTAAAAAAATGCCCCTTTGGGTGCTGAATCTGAAAGCTTTCATATTTTATTTTTTTTTTATTCAAATTTCTTCTTTTTTGTCTATTTGTTCTATTAGTTTATCAATTATGTAGGAAACAACATAAAACATATAATGAAAAATTGTAATATTCAACATTATATTAACATTACTTTCTAGATTGTATTTTGATAAGTAATTAAAAAATATACAAGTTTAATCCCACGATCTCCAAAACTATGCAATAAAAACAAGCCAAGCAAAACAGATTTTTTTCATATTTTTACTTGATCAGATGCTGTAATTTTAACTAGAAAGACATAATTGCTGATGACGCATACTTCGAGACACCCTGCAGATTTCTTAAGAGAATGTGAGAAGGGGGAGAAAAATGAGTGGAATGCTCAGCCAAAACTGAGTTTTACAAATGTCTATTAATAATTTGGAATAATTGTTTATATTGAAAGTAACCTTAAAATACTGGTGACATGTAATCTAATAGCTGTATGTAATCTGGCTGTATGTACTGGCTTTAAAAACATGGAAATGTTTTTAAAAACATGGAAATGTTTTTAAAGTTACGAAGATATTATGGAAACACCTAAATGAAAAATAAAAATTTATAAGCAATTATTTTTTTTAATTATTAAAAACTGAGCTTTTATCTTTTCCCCCAAGACTGCTGCACAGAAGCCATATATTACATCCCTTTTCTGTAAAGTTCTGTACACTGGCATGTAAATTTGACAAAATTGTTTCATGAGATAAATTTACACATATTAGTAAAATGTATTAAAAGTGAAAAAAATCATATAAAAAAACTTACCAAATTTGGAGCAACCAGAATAAGCATTTATACACATTTGACTAACTTTCTTTGCAGAAGAGATTGGTAAACTGACAGCTTCAAGAGGTCGAATTAACACTTGGATAATAAGAGTACACAACAAATCTGAATAACTGAAAAAAAGAATACATATATCAAACAGATTTTAAGTACATTTTCTCCATAAATTATATAACTAATGACAGAAAGAAAGGTACAAACCTTAACTTATCATTTACATCAAAAAAATCTGAAAGCACATCACTTAAGTTTGACTTTTTCTCCTCGGAATAAATAAGTTTTTGGTCTTTAAAAATCCTAAAATTATTTTGTGGGGTTTTGAGTAACATCTTCAGACTGTGGCGCATTCTAATAGGACACCTGAAAAGATAAGGGGAAAACTTTAAAGAACTTTTCAAATAATTTGAAAGACAAATAAATAGTCCCTTACAATCAAGAAAACGTCTGTAAGGAGAACTGAAAATTTGGCCATTAACTTCCTTCCCTCCCATTATTCCATTGTGGGATATGTCTGTTATATTAATATATATAATAAAACTCCACACCCCTTTCGAGGGTCAATGTAGAGAAACTTGGTGACGCTACTGGCTAGGACCTATACCTAGGCAGTCTCGGCCACAGAGGTATACAAGTTATGAATCTAGTGGTTCTAAAGGCCCCTGAGAGATCACTCATTGGTCTGCCTGTGGGTCTGGCACATCCTAGAGCTCAAGGCTCTAGTAGCCCAGGGTGGCATCCTGGGTTTTGCCTGGGGGTGCGCACCCCAGGTATTCTGAGTAATGTCCTTGGGCGACGGCAGCCTGTGTGACTAGTAGGTAGTAAATCAACAAACAGTGACACCTTGGGGTCCATATTACACCATTGGATTGTGCCATCCCCTCAAGGAGCGTTGACAGTAGTAGTAAATCAACAAACAGTGACACCTTGGGGTCCATATTACACCAGGTGGATTGGTGCCAATCCTCTCAAGGTTCAAGCACAAGGATTGAACCCCTGGGCCTGGATTGGGGGGGGGAGGGGCATGCAGACTTATATTGCCCTTTTATATGATGGAACAAGGAATGCCCTATAGTTATATGAGAAAACTGTTCCTTCATCATACATATATCAAGTAATCCAGTACATCTATAAAGAGCAACAATCTTTCCATTCAAATATTTTACGATTTTTTTTAAAGCGCTTTATTTTCAGGCACTTTGCTTTAAATATTATATATTTTTCACACAAAAATTGATAGTTTAATAACACATGAATGGAAGCACTTCATTCGCTAATACGGTTTAACAGAAATTAAGCCACTAAGACAGATCTCTAATTACCGCTCTCTTGCATTAAGAAATAACTGTCAGAGAAAGAGAATTTGACATATCTTCCACTATTAACCATTACTGGCTTTTACAACATTTTCTTAATTCAGCCTAAAACATATTCTAAAAACTTCTTTAATTGAATTCTTTGATTATTTTGAAACTTTATTCATTCATAAAAATATAATAATATTAATTGATAATTTTACTTACAGTAGATGAAGAATATTTTTAATGAAAAGTAGAAAAGATTCCTTCTACAGTAGATGAAAGGATCCATCATTTAAACATAGCTTTTTTTCCCATTTTCCTTACGATTCCACCCAATACAGGATGTTACATTTATTTTTTCCTTAATTCTTTTCATATTTAAAGCAAAGAAATTTGGCTCCTGAATCAGTTTCTTTCAAAATCCATAAAGCAGTTTACTACAATCGATACCAACATACAGCTAACTTCTAACTGACTTCAAAATAATGGTATACTAATTTCACAAAATTAAATTTCGAAAATTCTGTGTACATCAAAATATTTCAATGCTAAAGCTCAAATGTATGATTATTTTATTCATAAGCATAGATGCTTTCTTTGCTGCAAAAAAATTTTAATTTTATAGCTGAGTCCAAACACATGCATAATTTTATTTAAAAAATTATAACAATATTTATACGTCTTTAATATAAAATATTCAAACTTCTTGAATTCTGCAGAATTCTACAGATAAGTAATAATATGCATAAACATCAATACTATTTCAGAAGTCAAACAACAAAAATCAGCATTATATTTTTCAAAATTTTCACAGGACTCAAGTCTCCAACTCAAGGTCCTGTGAAAATTTTGAAAAATATAACGTTGATTTTTGTTGTTTGACTTCTGAATTAGTATTTGTTTGGCGTGTTATTGTGTCTTAATCAACACTATACTCACCCGCTGTATAAATCAGTTGGGCAATAACCACTTTTCTCTGAAATTACACCCTGTTTAACCTGAAAAATAGTTATGCCATTCATAATTTGCATTCAGTATACATTTAATGCAGCAAAAAGAAAAAATGAAATAATTATTAAATTGAAATTAAGGCCTATTTTTATGTTTTTAAAGTTAATTCATTAAATAAATAAAAATTTTTAAATATGCTTACTAATTTTTTCTGCAATTAGAAGATAAAAATCACTATATGAAAGTATAGCAAAATACTCTGATCTTTATATTGTTTTTTCCTCAACTCAAGATTAATAATCCTCTTCTAATCAAACTCAGATTAAATCATGGAATTTTCAATTATTTTGTTATATCTAATCAAAATACCTGTAATTTTGCTTAAAAACTAGAAGCTCTTGATAATAATGACAGCCAGATTATAACATTTTGAAATTAATTATCTAAATAAAATTTGCATTTTATATTTGATACATATAGGCCCAATATGATATATATTCTATGTACTACATGTAGTTCTATATCTTTGGCAGGCCACTACTAGAATGGCTATATCATATTGGGGCATCCAAAAAGTTCTGTGGTTTTTTAAATCAAAGTGCATTTTCTTCTAACTGCTTTCTTAGTGCTGATAAGGAGGGACAATTATTGAAGTGGATGTTTAAATATGATCTTTTGAATATGATAATTCTAGCATGTATTGCAACATAATTTTTAAAGTATGAATTTATTTAGAGAAGCATGGCAATTACAGCCTTGAAGATTATGCCCACTCTGGAAAACCATCCTTTATAAACTAGGATCTATTAAAAGAAGCTTTCACTGAAAATCCATGTTATACAGTTCAGAAATTATCAGATAGACTAACATTCCAAAAAATGAAGTGTACATTTGAAGAAGACTGGGTATGTAAGCTGCTACAATCCCTTGCTTTAACAGAGCAGAACCATTTGCACGAGATTCGACATGCAATTCTTTACTAAAAAGGAGTAAGAAGTTCCTTTTTTGAAATGACTCATTACTAGAGATAAGAAGTGAATACTATACAATAATTTTACAAGAAAAAGGATCATGGGGCAAGAGTAAAAAACTTCGTTTGGTAACACTGAGAGGGAAGCTGTATCTCCAAAAAGTTATGCTTTACATATGGTGGAAAGAGAAAAGAAGTGGTATACAATGCATTTTTGCCAAAAAATCAAAAATAAATTTGAAAAATGGAAACACATAAAATAAATTTGTTCCCAAATAGCAATTTTGAAAGCAGAAACTGAAGCAAAGTTAGAATGGACCAATTATCATGATGTGTCTTCCACCATGACAATGCTTGCCTCCACATTTTGATGAATGTCGGACAAGAACACAAGAACTCTCTGCATAAACAGAGTTATTTCTGGAATAAATCAGGCATTCCTAGATTTTTAATTTATTACAAAATAGCAAGCAAAGATTATTTGCCTAATAAGTGGATGCTTTGGTCTAATTTTCTAAGACAAACTGTCTCGTAATTATGTTACATATGGAAAAACCAGTAACAACTAGTCTAATGCAACTAGTCCATTCACCTGACACAGTGCCCGGATTGAATATAAAATGTTTAGGAGTCTTACACACTGATAAACTTTAGGAAATCCTCAGAAAGAAAATGCCTTATTTCATGCTCTATACTTCTGCATAGCTGCAATGTTTTGTGTCCTCCTCCCATATTCACTAGGCTCTGCCTCCTTGGATATCCAGGTCACTTCAAAATTCTCTGGACAGCCTACATTTACTTTTTTAAAGATTCTCAAACTGTATTTGATAACTCCTTTATGAATAAACCTAATGATATTTTTTAAAAAAAAGAATTTCCCAGCTGCCATGGCAAAATGTCATAGAACAAAACTAAAATTCATTTTGATGATTCAATGAAATTTTCTTATGTCTTTGCATGGATTAATTTATATTTGTAATTAGAAACCTCGGAATTTTCTGAATGAACTAATGTATACAGATGTTAAGAATATGTGTAAACCTTCATCAGAATCCAGAATTTAAAATATTTTATGGTTAGTACTTTTTTTGTTTTTTTTTTTTTTTTTTTTTTTTTTTTTTTTTTTTTTTAAATACAGATTAAACTTAAAACAATTTAAATTATTCTTCCTTCCCCCCCCCAAAAAAAGGACTTTTACATCCAGACAAAATAAAAAGCAATATTATTATCTGACAAAAATATTTATTGCAAACCTCATACATAAGCAGTACTGTAAAATAAACACACAATTATGTATTTAATATTTAAATCTTTTCTTTATTGAATATCTGAAAAAGTTTCCATATGGCATTCACTTACAGAGGAATATTATCACAGTAATTTCTTTCCCTATCATTTGGCTTCCCCATTTTAAACAGCTCATTTAATTGCAAGATTTTATACTCTATATCTTTAGCTTGTGGTAGAGATTAATTCTTAAACAAGTAGACTTACCATAATAGCTTAGCTCAAATTTTTGTCAGAAGTTAAACTGAAATCTCTAAACTAGACCAGATTGCAATTTCTTTAAGCTTATGATTTTTTTTAATAGAATTTTTTGAATCTTATGTGTTTTTGGAACTTTAAGGATAAACTTTTTGACTACAGGTCAAATATGTTGTAGTCAAACAATAAATCATAGGTCAAATAAAAAAATTCCAGTCATGTAAACACACAGCAGTCTAAATATATCCAATAACGTCTTCCGACAACAATACCAACCATGAACAAACAGAATTAATTTTTATGCGAGTTTGATGTGTTTTTATGAAGAAGCGTAACTTTTATCATTATGCATCCTTCAAATTATACATGATAGTATATACTACAAATACAGCATTTTTCCTTTGTTCTATCATCTCTGAAAGATTAAATTAAGAAACAGATTCCACTGCCTTTATGCACACAAAAAAGTTTGAGGGGGGGGAACATTGTGTTATGTAAATGAATATCATAATACACAACACAACTTATTATTACTTCGCATAACATTGATACTGTTTTCCTTCATGTAATTTGTCAATTAAATTTAACCACATCTCTTACATATGTGACGTAGTGTTGACTTTTGCAAGAGGAAAATAGGTAAAAAACTGGTTGCATAGGTCTTACTGGTGGTAGAAATTGGTTGCATAAGTTCTTGTCATTTAATGCCAGAAGAGTATTTAAGATACTTTATTAACTAGCAATATTTGTAATTTATTAAATTATTTTAATACTTTACAATAGTATATATTTTAATTAATAAATTAATTGTCGCTTTAATCAGTCGGTAACTTTAATAATGGGGGAAGTAAATATATTCGATTTTGATAACTTTACATAATTATTTGGTGAATCTTCGGATTATGTAACTTGGAGATTTTTTGGCGAAAATTTGGCGACGAACCCTGCTACAGCAACCTGCTAGTTTTGTTTTGGACACCATTTTGTTTTCACGAAGAAAAGGCTTTTTTTTTTTTTTTTTTTTTTTTTTTTTTTTTTTTTTTTTTTAATACTCAACATTTTTTTCAACAATCTGCTAGCCGAATTACGCTTATACTAGAACTTTTATGGAACAAAAATGCTTAATCATGATGAAGATTAGGTGCGAAATTGGGAGAAAGTGCAGAATCGCAAACTGCTTGCCGCGTTTTTAAGATTTGCACATCCATGTACACGTCGACCTATTTTCACTTAAAAAAAATTCCCAGAATTGCACAAAAATGGCATTGCGCACACGCTTTACTTTATCCATGTACACATCGACCTATTTTCACTTCAAAAGTCAAAGAAAATTGACAAAAATCTAATTCTTCTTACTCTTCTTACTCTTGTAAAAAACACCAAACAAATAAGTGGGCGATTCTGCACTTTAGCAGCGAAATTGTTTCTAAATGCATATTAGCTAAAATAACGATTCGAATTTTCCGGAAAATGTCACATGACATATCTCATGATCTCTCATTTCTCTGAGACAAAATAATTTGTGATTTGAACTGTGTACTTCTCAGGTTATTGCTAAAGTCCTACCTAGTAACCTTTATCACCTTACCAAAATGTCGCCAAACTATCTGTTACCATATTCCAAATATTAGCGAATTATTTTTACAAAGTTATGTTGTTAAAACTAATCTTTAAAAACAAAAAATAGAATATTTTGCCTCCTTTCTTAAAAAAAAAAATATGTTGAAAATAAATTCTGTTAATTTCAAGGGCAAACAGATATGGGCCCTTCTTAGTCAGAAGTAAAAAAGTTCTGCAGAGAAGGGAGGAGGCACGACTGTATTTATAGCAAAAACAAAGGGTCGAGTAAAAAGAAGCATGAGCATAGCACTCTCCGTCCAGGAAAACAATAATGAAACATGAAAATTTGTGATATTAGAAGGTACTTACGTATTATCGCAACCAGGTTGGCGCGATTTGTAAGTTTGAGTAAAAAAGTATGAATAGAAAGAAAATGTACATTTATTAATTACAGATAATTTTTAATACAGTTTTTATATTATTTTGTTTTAAAATATAAAATAGCAATTAAACCCTTCTGGTTTCGAATTTGAATAAGTTACAGAATTATTTTTTCGGCGGAAATCTTTTGGCTATTGCTTTTAGCAAATTGAAAACCGTCTTCACCATTAAAGCTTGAGCTTGGCGCCATATAATTCGATTTATGGTATGAGTCAAGATGATGACGGGCTGTTCCTCTCTGTTTTTTGTTGTGCCATTTGGCTGAGCCCCACATGCGCCTACATGTTGTGTGTGAACGCCCGTGTCGGGATCCACAAATTATATTTGTGATTAACCGTTCCCTGCAGAAATCCAGCATTTTCGAAATTGTATTGTATCCTTTCCAGCAATCCGAAATAAATATTCTTCTTCCTTAATATTTTCGGAAATTTTTTCCATGAGGGTACGGCGCTTCTGTTAGGTACAGTAACCAAAAAAGTCTCTTTCTTTCCCCGGCAAATTCCGTCGAAAACCCATTGCTGTAGTAGTACACGCCCAGCGTTATTTTTCTTTTTACAAATAAATTCTTTTTACAAAACTACGCATAACACGTAGGGTTGCCGTAAGTAGGGTCGCCAAATTTGGCGATTTATGCGAATTTTGGCCTGGTTGCTTTAATACGTAAGTACCTATTAGAATTTTAAAAGAATTTGGAAGGACTGGATTGAAATTAATATCATTAATCAAACAAGAAAAATGTTTGTGAATGCGAAAAGCTTCAAGGAAATCCAAATATACTAACTGAAGAAGATTTATAAATGATTTTTACAGACTCAAAGTCAAAATTGTGATTAAATCTCCATGTATGATATTAGTTAGTAAAGATTTGTTTAGTCTGTTTGTTTTCAAATAAAATATTCATGTTCATTGGTGCAAAGTTTTAATGCTCTTTTAGTTTGGTTAATATATCTCAAACCACACTAATAAGATATGTTAGAATCACAGACAGAATTTGTAAGAATCAAACAATAAATTTTATTTACAGGTGAGAAAATGACCTCAAATTTGAATTTCTGGTGAATCCATACAATTTTGTAACTGATAGAAGGATGAAATGGAAAGCCAACAAGGTTATTAATGTTATTTTTCACAGCGAAATGCCTCTTCCGATAGCAAGATGAATATCTATGCCAAACGCAAGGTTGGTGTTTTGCCTAATTTAAGTTTTACTTTGGTGGGTTTCTCCTCTCTCTTGTAGTTAAAACAGTTTCAATCAAGCAGTTACAACATTATACACACATGCTTTGCTTAAAGCGTATAAGATATAAATTATCAGTGTGTGAGAGGCAAATGTTCAGGCATTACCTCCTAATCAAACTCATATTTTGCCCTTACATCATAACTTTTCATACAAAATCAACTTCTTTTCATAGCACATATTTTTTCAATGAAGTCTTACAAAATGTCAACTTTACATTTTAATCCAATTTAAAGATAACACAATGAAAATCGATAATTTGCACAAGGACAACAATGTCTGCAAATGCTGCTAAGTTGCAAAAAGTTTCAAAAAATATTCTTCAACTTTTGATTTATTCACAACAAATTAAAAAAAAAAATTGTTCATGTTTTGAAAAGCAATAAAACTGGTCTTCTGCTGTAAACTACTTTATAGAATATTTTGGGCAGAACTTGTGTAATGAATATACATGAATTTTGAATTTTTTTAACATGAATTTTGAATAAAACTGTAATTGTTACAGCTGAACTTGCACTAAAATAAATTTTGTTATTTTGTAAATTTCTGCCAGATACCGCCAATTTTACGACAGAAATGAGTTTTAACCTCTCAGAAACCAGCTAATCCAATATTACATAAATATCATATATACAGCATTTGCAATTACATGCGGTTTACATGCAGTATTTCTAATGCAAAGCAAATAAAAAATTATTCAAAAGAATGCCTCTAAAAATTTTTAAGAAAATAATATTTATGAATATTTACAAATATGTCGAATTCTATTATTCAGAATAAAAAATAAATAAATAAAATACATACAATAAAAGACAACATATTTCTGTACATTTAATGAAAGATGACTAAAAACATATTTTCAGGGCAATGAAAAGGCCTATTAAATGCTGAGCCCATTTTATGTGATTAAGAAAAAGCACAAAATTAGCTTTTAATTTGCTGCTAAAGAATTATAGAATCATACACTTAGGTGATTTAATATACATTCTAAGAATATTTGAAACTATTTAATGGAATAATATACAGAAAATTAGCTTTTCTTTTAATTTTTTACCTTATAAATTTCAATAGACAGATTTCTTCTTCAAAAACCTTTCTCTACCAAATTAAAATGGATGTTATTTATATAAAACACATGATCATTCACTAAATGATTCTTACTTTGTACTGTTGCATCATGCAAAAACGACACATACGCATAGGAACAAAAGATTGACCAGGTAATGAAAACTCATCTTGCAACATAAAACCTTGCTTGGGCTAAAAAAAAAAAAAAAAAAAAAAAAAAAAAATGGAGTTATTTATGTGGATTAAATAAAAGATCAACTAAGTACACTTATTTTTTACAAACACTTTAATATAGACTTCAATTTCAAAAACATTAATTAAATAAATAAATAAATACAAGAATCTTTTACTTGGAGAAATATTTTGTACTCTAAATTTTTAATGCTTTAAGCCATAAGAAAACAGAATGTTGTTTTACCCCATATGAAAAGAGAATTTTTTTACCAAAAATTTTATGTAGATTAGAAGTAAACAAAACTGCAAATAAGAATTCCCCTCCAATGTCAACATAACTCAAGAAGTGCATGTAAAAAATAAATAAAAACTGATTTCATTTTTAAGAAAATGAAATATAAAAAAAAATACATTATTAATGTTTCATTTATGACGCATATTTTCTTACAATAATAAAACAAAAAACATCTAAAATACTTTTCAAGTATTCCAATTTTATCTTTATTAATTGTTAAACATACCTTTATTTCAACACTAATCACAGGACCAAAAGAAGGATAATTCTTAAGATGAGGAGGCAAGGAACAATAATCTGGTAACATAAGAACATATGAATCTTCTTCTTTCACACTCTTATGTCTCCGAAAATCTGCAGAACAAATATTTTTTTAAACATGATTGATTTTTATTTTAATATTTTTGACATTTTACTTATTTACAACTTACCTGGCCGGAACTTATTGGCAACACAATTAATCACCCAAATGTCTTCTTTTGACAAGAATACAATTATCTAAATAAACAAAATATTTATATATATATATATATGAAATTTTAAGTCAGAATTTCTACTTTATTTAAAAATTTTTATCTATGAGGAAATGGAATTTAATACAGCAACTTCAGTTTTCATACCATATTACAAAAATACTTTTGTTAATTCAAATATTTTTTAGGGAAGAAGAAAGGATAATACCAGATAGACATTAAGACAAAAATAGTTTAAATCTCAAATGCATAACTCATTGTGAATCACGCATATTAAACACAGAAATAGTCTATTTATTAGTATAATCATATGTTATATTTGTGTAAAATGATATGGATGATTACATTTTTACAAGAAAAAAAGTATTGCAAAATAATTTTGAAAAGCATTCCACAGTGCATCTACAGTTTTAGGACCAAGCTCAGCCCTTGCAAAACTATACAGTAGGAATGCCACAAAATAGTTACTTGAGAAAAAACTAAAATTGGGAATCTTAAGGCTCAGTGAAGAGCTCATTACATCATTAAAAGTAAGCTATATTTATCAAAAACAAATATAAACTATTTTTTTACAGGAAATTTTTTTAAAAAGAAACTATCTTGGAAATGCCAGATTTACTTTTTAATGATTAAGGACAAGCTTGAAATTATTGCTGCAGTTAAAGATCTACATCTGTCTGGAAATACTGAGAAGCAGGATATTGAGAAAATGAGTAAAATTATAACACAGTTACATTATGACATCAGTTACATAATGACATTAATAGATGTTCTTATTTTTACCTTCAATTTTAAAAATCAACTGATATAAGAGGCATATCACAACTGCTTATTTTAATCCTATGGTTTTAAAGATTATATACACCTAAAGAATTGTTGACTATGATTTCTTTGAATGAAAGGACTACAGATGTGGATTTTAAAAACTTCCTCCTAATTTGAAACTATCACTTTTTAAATTAGTTGTAATTAACAGTAGATGGAGCAGGAGCAATGATAGGTAGCATAAATGCATTTATAACTCTATGACAAAATAATGAATTCCAAAGTGTTTTCAGCTATCCCTGCATACTTCACTAGTAAGTATTATCCAGTAAAAGATTCAATATAAAAGAAATGATAGATGTAGCATTCAAATTTATTAATTATATGTGAGAAAAATTAATTCCATGAGGCAAGCCATAAGATAAATTTTCTCACACAGTGTATCTTCCAATTTACAATTTGATGAAGAGCAGCCAGAATTATTACTACAGACCAATGTCAGGTGGCTTAGTAAAAAAAAAAAAAAAAAAAAAAAAAAAAAAAAAAAGATTTCATGATTTATTAACTGAGGTAAAAAAATTCTCAAAGAGCAAAATCAAGAATGTAGAAACTTAAATAACAAAACTTGATTCAGTGACTTAGCGTTTCTTAAAGATTTTACACTGAAATTAAGTGATTTAGATTTCGGGTTGCAAGAAAAAACAAGACAGTAGTTGAAATCAGTAATATTAATGTATATAAAACAAAATCTATTTTATGAATAGAACAGAAGACTTTTAACAAAACAATTTAAATCATTTTTCAAATATGCCTGATCACCTATAAAACATCAAAATTGCAGTTACAACATTAAAAAAAGGGTTGTTCAAATTGAAAAGGTGACTGAAGATTTTGACATCAGATTTCATTATTTTGAAAAAAATGCTGTACTGTATTTATCTTTCCCTTGTAAAAAAGGATTTAAATGTAAAACACATTGCTGCAAAATGTTTTCACCCATTTAACACTAGAGAAAAAAAAAACCATTAAAAATTAAATTATACAAGCCACAAAAGTTGAGGGAGATTTTTTGGAAATAGTCAATCAAGAAAAATATCCCAACATCACCAAATATAGATAACATATCTATTCTTGTTTTGCATATACATACTTATGTGAATTGTCTTTTTCATATTGAAAGATTCTGAAGAGTAAACATGGTTCCTTATCCTTTTCCAGAAGATTCATTATCATAATCTTTATCCGGATACACACCAAGTTACGACTTTGTTGGGGACATGTAGATGCAGATAAGATAATAAAATTTCATCTTATTTTTTCTGTGGCTACTTTCCAACTAATACCACATACTAAGTCATAATGAATTTAATATGTTAGCATTTAAGCGCAGTTATTTCTAAATGCATTAAATTTCTTAGAAAAATAGTGAAAAATATAAAATAACTAGAAGCGGGTGATTTTTCCCACAATATCACTCACTTGGGTTCAAAGATTGGCAATAGATTCCCCTTAACTTTCAACACTGAACAGGAGTTCTGCTCAAGGGGAGATACGGAAAATTTTGGCTTCATGCGAAGTGTAAACTTTTCTGAATTGTTTATTACTGCCGATGCCATAGCTCTGACAGAAATAAGGTTGAAAACAGTTCTTGAAATTTTGCATAAAAGTAGGATTTTGCCCCCTTGGAGGAGTTAAGACTTCTTTTCTTAAAAAAATGACTATAAGTTATTATTCTTTTCTTGTTGACTGGAGAGGTGGTTTTTAAGAAATGATTTAAATGAATAAAGATTAATTTATAGCTTATTCAAATCAATTTTATTACAATATTTATTACTGCCGATGCCATAGCTCTGACAGAAATAAGGTTGAAAACAGTTCTTGAAATTTTGCATAAAAGTAGGATTTTGCCCCCTTGGAGGAGTTAAGACATCTTTTCTTAAAAAAATGACTATAAGTTATTATTCTTTTCTTGTTGACTGGAGAGGTTTTTAAGAAAGGATTTAAATGAATAAAGATTAATTTATAGCTTATTCAAATCAATTTTATTACAATATTGTTAAAAGAAATATTTTGTCATATGTAATTTTATAAATAAAATTAATAACTAAATGCTTAAAAATAAATTTTATCCTAATAAAATTATTTTAAAGCAATTGTAGTTTAATAACATAATTTTTAAATACTTACAGGACATTGCATTAAATCTTGACCTAATAAAAACTTCATGACATTTTGAATTACTTCAACCTTACTTTCCAGTTCTTTAAATTGAACTTCCTTGCTTCTAGTAATCTAAAAAGAATTATAATAATTTAATTTTTCATTATAAGATATTATATTTGCTCAGTATAGAGATTTTAATTTAATAACAATACTAGGAAGTTGCAATATATACACTACACAAAATTTATGCCATAATATTTTTAAATAAGTCTGGCAAGCTAGAGAATTTAATGCTATCTACTAATATTTCAAAATTTTGTTATTATTTAAGTGAAGAAATGTTATAATAATATAATGTTCTTTAATCAATCAAAATTAACTACACAGTTTCAATTCACATTAATTACACACTATGTCAAAATTTTTCATTTTAAGAGTTTTCTATGAAGAAAGTTAACTGACTACTGAAATTAATTTCTTTGATTCATTAACTATTTATGATGATTTTGAAAAAAATAACTATAAGCGTGATAACCTATTTTATGAAAAATAATATATTATTATAAATGGTCACATCGAAATGTCAAAGTAAATTATGTATAAAAATCAAGAAATTTATGAGCAGCTTAAAATATGACAGCTTATTCATAAATTTTGAAATTCATATGAATTTTCATAAAATTCTATTGTGTAATTAGTAACTTTTTATTTCTTTGAAACAAAGTGCATTAACAGCATCAGTCTAAAATATCTTTTGCAGAATGTACATGACAAAAAGCAATAAAGTAGTTTTTCATTTACTTCCTGAAATGCATTATGAAAGTACATACAGTGCAGAAAAATTTTGCACACTTCTGAGGATTATTAGGTAAATTTAGGGTTTCCTTTTTGTTAAATTTCTGTATGTGTATACTTTCTGTTATTAACAACTAATACAATATAGATACTTTTTTGTAATATGAACATCAGCAAATAAATGATAGAACAACTTTTAATTTAAAATGCTTGCAACTTTACATGTTTATATTCTGTATCTTGCCCTTTTACTTAGTTGAAGAAATCATCATTTGTGCATAGTTCAATAAAGATTTCATTTATTTTGTAGAAAGATTCTAATAACTATTCAAAATTTTGCTGAAAGTTACAAATAAGTGTTTAACATTGCATTAGAAGTTGCTAACACATCATATTTTAAAGATTAAAATATTATGTAGAGTATTGAACAAAGAAAATTGCATAGAATCCCTCCCCTTTTATTGCCTCAACAAAGGATTCTCAATACTTTTTAGCTTTTTTTCTTCCCTTTTTGTCATAAAAAAAATCTTCTGCAACTTTACAAGCAACATTGATTTTCTACCATATCCTGTAGTAATAACTATTACTGACTATATTATCAATCAATACTGACTATATTACCAATCTATCACTATTACTGACTATATTACCAATCTATCACTATTACTGACTATATTATCAATCACTATAATACTGACTATATTATCAATCAATCATGCGAGCATGGCAGGGACATCGCGCGAAGAGCGATGTGTCCTGCTTGATGATGTATCTGCCCACGAGGGCACATGACAGTGTGAATTGGACGAAGGAAAGGAAGCTGGAGGTAAGTAAAGTGGGGTGACCATGCATCACAAGGGAGACTACATTACAACAATGCAATGCCATTTATATGTTTCTCATTTATGTGTTGTTTCACAGTCCTAAAATCTGAATTCCAGCTGACTGTATGATTGGTTTTCATGGTTTTCCTATGTATAATGTGGATAGAAGGCAAAAAATCCTCTACAAAGATAACCATCCTTATAGGCAGATAGCCCTCAAGTTATTTTGCCTTAAATAAGTAACCTAGCCTAACCCAATTTATTCTTACTCATATTCACAGCAAAATATTTCATAATACAATGCATAGCTTTAACTACATATAACTTTTCCAGATTTGTTCTTTTCAGAAGTTCTTTCTTTCAGTAGCATGTGGAAGTTTGATACGGACATACTGAGAAACAGAGTCATGGAATATGTTCTACGGTATGAAGTTAGAAATCTAGCTGCATATACCCTGGTTTTCAAAAGCTAAGCATATAATGCAAATTAGCAATTTTTAAATGTGTAGTTCATTTTAGGGGGCTGAAAATCACTGTGGATTTAAAAGGCAGTATGCAAATATTACATTATAGCTAACTACAAAGTATCTGAATCTACAGTAATCAAGCAAGATTATGTTGTTAAAGACACCAGCATTCTGAAGGGTTTGAGAAGGTTCATTTAAATTCTGATATATTTATAACTCTACGATGATGGAGTATGATGATAATATGCAATAGTCCCTTACATAATTAGCATAACATAATAAGCATAATACTGCAGGATCTTCAAATCTTTTCAACAACAGAAGGGTAATACACCATAGTATTACAATGCAGCACATACTTTAAGAAGCTGTACCCTAGACAATAACTTCATTCATTAATATATATAAAATTATATTTTAAGTTCTGAAAGAGGGACTTATTATTACATAAAACTCAGTATCACTCAACTCACATTTACAAAAAAATGAAAATAAAAAAAGAAAGAAAGGAAAAAAAAAGGAATTTTCTGAAAAAGAATAAAATTTCATACCTTGCAAGCATTGTCTTGTTTTGTTAATCGTAATACCTTTTCCTCCTGAAAAAAGAAAATTTTAAACAAACTTTTATATAAAATATTTGTATATTAACTGAAATGTACACAAATGTCAAAATACAACTCAGGCTTCCTATATGTAAAAAGAAGAAGTATTCCCCAGTTTTATTATTTTTAAATCTCAAATCTGAAATTTCTGAATATTTACATATGCAAATTTTTTCTCTGAGTAATTTTACAGATTGCATTTAATATATATTTTTTTTCCATTCAATCCAATGTTCCTAATCACATTTTTATATATTTATTAGCCTTTGGATTAAATGCAAACACAATTAAAATCCACTTTATTGATATCAACTGCAAAATGTAACAGATAGCAACAAAATTATATGCATATAGATTTTGGCAATATTTGACAAGGCATCAACAACACCCGTCCTATTACGCAATTCATTTATCAAAATGACATTGTCCATTTTTGCAATGTAATTGTTTTGATACTTAAATTTTCATATTAAATTGTACTAATGAACTTTGTAAGCACATTTGTTTGCAAATATTATGTTGTGTACACTGGGTTTTAAATTTAGCTGGAGCGCAATTGAACCCAGTTCAATTTTTGACAAAATCAAATTTCCAAGTGAAATGTGACAATTTCAAATATGATGGAATCTGCAATTTTTTTTTTCCTTAAAAATGAATCACAACAATAACAGAAAATTCTTAATGCAAAATTTATTTTAACAGCTATTAAAACTAGCATTAATACTAGTTGCTGAATAGACTCATTTTCTCTTGGAAAAGAAAAATATTATAGAAAACTTGAGATTTGTGAAAGAAACCCCCATGTCCAAAGAAGAAACCAGAATGCAGTCAATCTCTAGAGGAAAAATAACACTGATGGGTTGTACCAGAACTCTCTGAATTACCTTAATGTTCAGGAGGCAATGGCTTTAATTACCTTATTAAAAAGAATTTAAATAAAACAGAAACCAAAGCAAGGAAGCAGTTTTATCTGAGTTATAATGAGAAATATTGTTAAAATAACATTTATATTTCTTTAATCCTTAGTCTTATTTCTTATTGCTAATTTACTCAACCTTCATCTGTTTTATCATTTCACTGAATTTTTGTGGTGTATTATTTTAATAATGTTCCATGGCTTACTAGTCTCATTTCCTGCGAGACTATTTCTGCTTATCTCTTATTCAATCAATTTTAATTATTTATCATTTACTGATGAATTTATTATTATTTTGCTTATTTTTGTTTGATGTTTCTGATAGCCTTCTGTAGGCCTCTGAACATGTCTAATTGTAGAAATTAAGCCCAGAGTGCACAGTATATTAAATTAGTCAAAATTCTGTGCCTCAGCTATCACTGCTAATTATGTTTGTCACCAGTTCCAAACTATACAACCAATATCTCCAATTAAAGCATAAAAATTCAGCTAAAGCATTTATTACACATTTCTTACTTCTAGCATATGTAGAGAATAAAATGCATATTTACTCGTAAATCTAGTTACTGAAAAATTTGACCTAATTTTTTTAAAACAAACTTCCGAACAGCGGCTTCAGTTAATTGTCTAGAGCAAGCATAGTCAACCTTTTTATACCTACTGCCCACTTTGTAGGTAGCAAAATTTCTTTACCACCCACCGGTTTCACAGTAATTTAATTTAGCTTAAATGCAAAATAATTTTTTGAATGGAGGCTTAGTAAAAAATATATATATTTAAATTTCTCCATTTATTTATATTTTGCTTATATTTATAAGAGACAGAAAATTTATGTCCTGCATTTAGCCAGGACACCGGCTCCAGCGAAACAGTGTCGACTAGGAACCCTTCAATAATTTCCAGGAAACCTGGAAAAGGAGAAATTTGTTTCTCAGTAAAATTTCTCCTAACCTCATGCTTTGTTAGGATGTGATCATTATGCACGCTATATCAAAGCCTTAAAGATATGCAGAAACAGGAGAGAGCTGCCCGCCGGAGAATGGATTTTCATCATCAGATAGACAAAAGCCTCTACTACCCACCATTAAAGCTTAAATTGCCTACCAGTGAGCAGTAGAGACCAGATTGACTACTGCTAGTCTAGAGAAAAACACACTTGGATTATTACTTGGTGTCTTTGTGAATGACTCCCAAATGGAAATAGTCTCTCTTTTCATTAGATATGAGGAAAATTTCATGCAACTAGACTGCACAGCCAGTGGCAACAGATCCATTGCAAGCTACCAGTTTTTCAAAGTTTTACTCAGCTAATGATTAGCTTAAATTTCTGAAGAAGATGAACCAGCATGTGTACAATATGTTACTGAATTTATTTTCTACAGTATTAAACAAAATGAATACCATATAACAATAAGACCATAACACTAACACAAATAGAATGTTTTGCTTCCAAATCTAGATTATGTACCCTGAATAGTAACTTAGGACACAAAATGACAAAACTTGAATAGTAACTTAGGACATAGAATGACAAACAAAAAACCAAGGCTTTAGGCCTCAGGCCAACCTTGGGCCAACGATCTCCAAACTTTTCTAATCATTTACCCCTAAGATGAAAATACTGTATTTGCCACCGTATAAGAAGCATCCCTTTTTTATACACATTTTTTAAGGATAAAACTTTATTACTGGCTGAACTTTATTACTATTCAATAATTTTCCTTCGTATTCGTATGGCATCTTTTGCAATATTTTTGTTTTAGTCCGCATACATAGCTGGTTTCTCTTCATGAATCTTGAACACCATGATGTTGAACCAGTAAAATCTCTCTATTAGTCGCTATCTCTTTCGTTTGTTGAATAATCATTTTTGTAGAGACTGAAAGTCCCGCTTTTCTGTAATCTAAAATGCAAGTATTCAGCTTTGCCTCAAGTTCAGGCCATAGTGCAGTTCCGCTTTGTAGGCTATGTTTACTGTAAGTTGCTTTATTTAGATCCTCTTCCTGATTCCACCAAATTCTTATCATTTCCCCAGTTGGGGGTGGTCCAAAATGTCTCTCTGCAGCCCTGTTTAAATGTTCTTTAGCATACGCAATCATATGTAGCTTTTATGCTATGTTATAGCAATGCCGAAGTTGTTTTTGAACCATAACATGTCAACAAGTTTAAGAAAATTGAACAGTAGAAATTTCAAACATTTAAAAGTTGTTCACAAAACCTGGAAAGCTTAAACAAATCCAGCTGTGATCGTCGAACACAACGCATGCGCATTCACTGAACTCTGCGTAACTGTAATATTTCCACACTCTGCAAGGAAACAAGAAAAAACTCCGAATATACTCGCATAGCTCCGAATAAACTGAGTATCGACGTATAAGACGCACCCCATTTTTCAGACCTATTTTCAAAGGAAAAAAGTGCATCTTATACGCCGTCAAATACAGTAATTACAATTGATTCCGGTTAATCGGACCACATTGGGAAGCGATGGTTTTGGTCATGATAACCAGCTAGTCCGATTACACGAACATGTCCTATGTTGTAAGACTGGACATGCTATATGTAGCAAACAGTAAATGTACATGTAAATCATGTACTAAAATGTAATTATGAACTTTATGGTGCGATCCACACATATGGTGAACATACATGTACAAACAAGAAATACAGTCGAACTTTTTTCCTTTGAGAAAATTAATTTAGAAACAAATTCCAAGAAACAATCTCCCCAATACTCAACATCCGAAGCACAATAAAAACAATTTCTTACCAAGTTCCAGTCAACATTTGAAGAACTTATCCAATGTGATCTGACGAGTTCTCTTGAGGTTTTGCACATGAACAAAATCACCACAAACATCTAACACAGCAATGGGACTGCCTTCATTTCCCTCCTGCATGAAATACCGATGCAAAGTTTCAATGCATTTCCTCACATCCATCCTGTTTGTCACTTGCATCAACTTATTAGCGGCATCATTATCATCACTTTCTTGGTCTTCCGATGCTGTTGTGTGTTTTTCTGCAACTCGAGCAACGATCGCAGCGTCGTAATCTTCATTTTCATCGTAGCATTGAAGCTCGTTTTCAATGAATAAAAATTCTTCGCAATTTTGTACCTGTTGATGTTCCACATGTAAATCATCATTTTCCCTTTCAATGAGCATGTCCACATCCATCTCCAAAACCAAGTGCTTAAGGTCACAATGAGTAAAACAGTTCTGAGTCTCACTGCTCACTTTTCACCAGCTGTCGCCCACAAATGTAACTGCTTGTGAGATGTTGACCTTTGCACTGACTTTTCCGGATTTGACGATGAGGTCAGCAAACTTTCTTCAATTGCTTCAAGGACGTAATTAACCAACCCTGCACGATAAAGGATCTGCAAATTTCTTATGATGCCATTGTCCACTGGCTGGACCAAAGCTGTGGTCCTGGTAGGTAGAAATTCCAGTTGGATGTTCATCAAGCAATCAAAATGAAGATGTGCTGCACAATTGTCAAGAAGAAGCAGCACTTTTCTCGACTGGCGTTGTAGCTCTCTGTCCGAATCCTTCAGCCATTCTTTAAAAAGTTCAGAGGTCATCCATGCATTTCTGTTTGCATGATACACAACTGGTAAACTGTCCATTCTAAGTCCTTTAAAGCAGCGAGGCTTAGTGCATTTTCCCATAACCAACAGCTTTCTCTTGTCCGTTCCTGACATGCTTGAGCAGCACAAAACAGTTATGCGATCCATTGCTTTTTTGGAGCCAGAGAGTGCAACATGTTTGTAACTTAACGAGCCGTCCAGTGTTGCATGATAATACAACCCAGTCTTCATCAACATTGTAAGATGTCATCTGCTGAAAAATTTTCAAGAAGCTCGGGCAGTTTTGTTGATTTCCATTCTTCAGCATTTGCACTATCAGCATTTTCTTTCTCACCATTAGCTTTCTTGAATTTTATGTCATGTCTAGATTTTCATCGTGACAACCAATCATCCGTAGCTTTAAAGTCAGCAGAAAAACTCGCTAAAAAACTGGGCCTGTGCCACTTACTCACACAGAACATCCAGTAACAATGGCAAACCATTCATTAAGGGCCTCATCGACATCTGGGTCCTTGACTTCACGCTTCCGATTTTTGGAAGTTCTGCCTCATCTTTCACATTGTGCCCATTCTTCTCGCAGCTCATTCTCTTGTTTTATCAAGCACGAAATTGTAGTCTTTGCCAATCCATTTATTTCCACCCAACGAAGCTGACTAGTGTTTTGTGGTTGTTGCTTATCCAGGAAACTAATTTTTTGAGCTAACATCAAATCCCGTCATGGCATTTTGGCAGAGGAGACAAGACACGCACACAGTTCACTGACTAAAGTGGTCTGAAGAAACCTTGGTGTTTCCGGTTCAAGATGTTGAGGTCAAGAGGGAGATAAAATGCTCATCATTCAAAGCTTTGGCACTAAAATCATCCCAAAAAGGTGATGAAATGATAGCTTTTTCATGTAAACTTTAATCATGATTGACAGCCAGGAATTACTTTCAGGTGAAACCGGACACTCTAATGTTCATTTCCTCAAAACTCTGAGGCGCAGGTCAAAGAAAGGTCAAAGAAAATGGTGTGCATGTTCACCTCCCACCAGTTTTGATTTTGTCATGCACTTTAAGGAATTCCTGACCTTTGATAAAACATTTTCCTGGGAAGCCGCAACTACAGATCCTCCCATATGTCGCAGACCACCTGAACATCCGCTGTACGCGGCCGACCTTGTGGCTTCTGGTTCTTATTCGCTCTCATGTTTTTTGGTCCAATTAATGGAATTTTGGTCCAAATAAGCAAATAATATTAGGCTCATGTACATAGGATTTGTTTCAGTTCTTTAGGATTTGGTCCGATTATCCAGTGGTCCAATTAACCGGATTCAACTGTATAAGTCATATCGCATGTAATGTAATGCAATACAATATACACGATCACACACTTGCAAGTGATCATGAGCTAATTTCTTTGTTTACGCTACATATCACTTTGTATACCTTACTTTGGAGACCACTATCTTAGGCAACCAAAAGAATAAAAAAGAGAAGAATTATACTAATGAAATGGATTTCAAATGGCATACACACTTTATTTCTAGGGACATAATATCATGTTACTATTACTCATTTACAATGTTTCAAAATGAATATTAATGATTATCTTTTCACTTCTGCTGTAAGTATTAGCCATTAATTTTGAAATGAGAAGCATTCAAAAGATGTTATTTCAAACATTTCAAACAAACTTTCAAAATATATTATTATATTTCAGATAGGAAGGAAAACTAAAAAAAATTTTTAAAAAAAGATTTTAGATATTATCATCAACTAAGGTTTAAAATTTATTTAGTATACACACAACATTATATATATAACAATACACTGAAGTGAAAAAAGTCATGGGATAGCAATATGCAAATATTCAGATGGCAGTAGTATCGCGTAGAAAAAGTATAAATGCGAAGTGCTTTGGCAGGGCTTTCATTTGTGTTCAAGTTATTCATGTGAAGAGGCTTTGACGTGATTATGGCCGCACGATGAGAATTAACAGACTTTGAACGCGAAATGGTAGTTGGAGCTAGATGCATGAGTCATTCCATTTTGGATATTGTTAGGGAATTCAACATTCCAATATCCACAATGCCAAGAGTGTGCCAAGAGTATCTAATTTCAGGCATAACTTCCCACCATGGACAGCGCAGTGGCCGACCACCTCCACTTAACGGCCGAGACCAGCGACGTCTGTGTAGAGTTGTCAATGTTCACAGACAAGCAACACTGCGTCAAATAACCGCAGAAATCAATGTGGGACGTACGAGGGACGTGTCCGATAGGACAGTGCGGCGAAATTTGTCTTCCTTGGGCTATGCCAGCAGAAGACCGACTCGAGTGCCTTTATTGACAGCACGACATCGCCTGCAGCGAATCTCGTGGGCTCGTGAGCATATCGGTTGGTCTCTAAACGAATGGAAAACCGTGGCTTGGTCAAATGAGTCACGATTTTAGTTGGTAAGAGCTGATGGTAGGGTTTGAGTGTGGCGCAGGCCCCACGAAGCCATGAACCCAAGTTGTCAACAAGGCACTGTTCAAGCTGGTGGTGGTTCCATAATGGTCTGGGCTGTTTTTACATGGCATGGACTCTCGGTCCTCTGATGCAACTGAACCGATCATTGACTGGAAATGGATACCTTCAGCTACTTGGAGATCACTTACAGCCATTCATGGACTTCACGTACTCAAACAATGGTGGGATTTTTATGGATGACAATGTGCCATGTCACCGGGCCACAATTCTTCGCGATTGGTTAGAAGAACATTCTGGACAATTCCAGCGAATGATCTGGCCACCCAGATCGCCGACCATGAATCCCATCGAACATTTATGGGACATCATCGAGAGGTCAGTTCGTGCCCAAAACCCTGCACCGTCAACACTTTCACAATTATGGACGTATATAGAGGCAGCATGGCTCAATATTCCTGCAGGGAACTTCCAACGACTTGTTGAGTCCATGCCACGTCGAGTTGCTGCACTTCGCTGGGCAAAAGGAGGACCGACAAAATATTAGGAGGTATCCCATGACTTTTGTCACTTCACTGTATATAAAGAGAGAAAATGCTTTGCTTTCGATTAAAATCCTGATTACGAATTACAGGATTTAAAATTAAGCGTTTTTCAGGTACAATTAAAAAAGAAAAGAAGTAAATAATTATTTGCGATATATATATATGAAGTTTAAATCAATCTGAAGATATAAAACAAAACAAAAACAATATTTACATATATACTGTATATTCCGGGGTACAACGTGCACTTTTAATACAAAAACTGAGACTCAAATTTACCAGTGCGCATTATACGCCATATATTAAAATGATAGGTTTCAAAATAAGGAAAAGATGAGCATAAAAAAATTTGATTTCTACATGTACCTAAATGCTGTTACTAGTGATTGTGGTGATTTTATAAGACCCAGTTGGCAACACTTTCTTTTAGAATTCGCCAATTCATTACTCTTTTTAGCAAATTAAATTCATTATTTGGCATATTAATTACTGCAACATCACTAGACTTGCTGCAGATTAACTTAGAAGGCAAACAATCCTAGATGCAACACGATTTCCATTATCTTTGCAAACTGAATGACTTTGCATTTAAAACTAGAACTATGTTTGTTTCATTTGGCGGGAGACATATTTACTACTAAAAGGAATACTAGAACAATTGCATTTCAGCTTAAGTAAATGCGATTTACAAAAGCCTAACATCTATCACGTATCCTTTCTGAGCTCTGCTCACTAATTTCATTTTTACGATGTGCAGGTAGAGAGGGTACTAAACCCTAGGCACTCTAAAAATAATAATCTTGGATTTGCTTCATTCAGCTATTATTAAACTAACATTTAACTATTCCAGATAATGTAACAATAGTAGCTAAAGAAAAATAACACATTAATGAAAGAAATGCAGATTTCTTTCCAGATAATAATTTTTTTTTAATTAACAGATGTATTAAAGTAACCAACTAGCAATGATTCACCTGATTCTTTGTAGTTTTAATAAACTTAATTATGCCTTGCGGAAAAGACATTTATTTACATTTTAGAACTATCTAGAGAACTGAAGGACAATGTTAAGAAAGAGCAGCATGTCTATGTCTTATAAGACTGGGCGTCAGTAATTGCAACTGGAGCAAACATTTTCTTTTTTTCATATTTTGTTTCATCTATTTAGTATTTAGTACAGAACACACTTTCCTTCCCCCGAAAAAATCTTTTACAATAAAATACAAATCAAATCATTAAAACGCAAATTTAATATTACCTTTAATTTATCATGGTTATTTCAGTTATAAAACATGAAAACAGCAGTACTTTTCCATTATGTATCTGTCACACATTTTGATGCATCTGCATGCATGCAACTATATATGTAATGATAAAGTACCATATTTGTGCATATATATGCACATTACATGCAGTAAACACATACTCTCACACACATGCCAAAATGCATGCAGTGTGTAACAGAAAAGTACCATTCTAGTTACAGATTTTTTAAAAAATTCTAAGCTTTAGTAATAGAAAATACATATGAATATATCTGGTTAATTATCTTAAATATACCTAGTAATAACAATTTACAATACAAAAGTGTTTTTCAAAGTACCATCGATAAAGTAAAAACTACAACTATAACAGGGCAAAATACATTCCTTTACTATTAAATAAAAAAACCTTTGGACTGCTTTGTTAAAATTTTCCATTTCTTAAATATTTCATTAAATTCATTCTTAGTTATGAAAATCAAAAAATCATTTGCGAAGCTAAAATATCTAAACAAATAATAGATAATGGAGCTTTAACAATATATAACTTATTGAATCACACAGAAGCAAAACTTTATTTTAGTCATCCATTCATTCATTAAGTACAAAACGTATCAATCAGAGTTTAAATCAAAGATTTAAGAAGAAAAAAATTCTCTTTTGCTTTTAACCTGTATAATTACTTGAATAAACTGAAAGGCAGATATTAGATGCAGATTATTCACTAAAATTCATTCCCCCCTTTTTTTTCTGTCTTATAAAATACAGATTACAACTTAATTACGGTTGAAAATTATAGCAATATTAACCACTCTGCACTTGATTTTTAGTTTTATCAGTAATGTCATCCTATTTAACCCACTAAGATAACGATTATACATAAAATATGATTTTGCTGACTTGTCAAAACCTATTAATAATATCATACTATTAAAAGAGTGTAATAGTGAATTGTGCTCCTACTCGGGAGTTTTAAAAATTTTTCAATGGAACATGGATATGCTTGGTCGGAAGAATCAATTTTTAAATGTCAATCATGACTGGAAGATGTGTGCTGTTTACAACACAAAATAATTATTATTCACCTTTTTTAAACGGATAACAAGGCCAGCATTCCCCTCACCCCGATATTCACAGTTTTCATATGATATTGTGAAAGACATTTAAGCATATCACACAATATGACTAGATTGCACTGTATTTTAAAATTAAATTCCCATTTTCTGACCGCCATATCAGTTTTGATTTCCCATTTCCACTTCCGGTTCCTGCGAAAAAATAATAAAGTTACAGTTAGCTTTTTCTCTCATCCATATCCGTTTTCAAACAATAAAAAAACTGAAAATCACAAAGTCAATGTATCCTTTTCCTATTTTATTTTTCGTCCTTAAGAGTTTTAATTCAGACGACTCAGGCGAACGCAGTTCGCAATAAACGGGCCCCCGCGCGGTTGCGCTATCCCAGAATAACATGTGATGGCGATTTTCGAGCTTCTGATTTACCATAGCATAGGTAGTTCCTAAAAGGGAGAACAGTGTATGATAAAAGAAACAAGAGTAGCATGGGTAGGGACAAATAACATGCCCAGACAAAAATTCAGACAATCAAAAATACATCTAGAAGTAGATATATTACGAGTATTTTTTAAAAGAGACAGGTCCGTATTTTTCGACATTTTCTGATCATTCAATCTTTTTGATGAAAATAACAAATTTCTCAGTTTTTTACAAAAACTGTTTTATTAATCAGTCATAAATTATTATTCATAACCTATAATCATATATTAGTATCATGAATGCAAGATAACTACTGTTTCGGATTATGGAAAAAAAGCGCACTCTTATGCCTGATACCATACGTACAAAATTTTTCTGCAATGAGCGAAAAGCGGCTATAGTTTTCCATTTATCAAATTCATTTTGTTTCCATATGTTAGTTACAATCACCAAACTAAAGGAGTGGTGATAGAAATCAACGAGTAGTCAATATTTCTTGTATTTTAAGTGGATTAGTCTGAGATCAACCGTTTCAGAAACTCTCCCCGTTTTAGGATCACTGTTGATGTGAAAAAAAGTGTTGACGTATCATTTTTGGGAGTTTGAATGAACTAACTCCACTTTTTAACTTTCATGTTAGAAAAAAGAGAGAGAGAGAGAGACTTCATAAATTACTTATGTCTTGAGTAAATAGAATATCAGGAGTTAACAAAGTTTGGGGAATGTATGAATTGGAAACTCAATGTAAACATTATCTATACTTAAAGTGTTTATTTACTTTTGATGAAATATATATACATATATATGCAATATTTTGGCAGTCGGGCACATGAGTGAAGCTTGGAAATCCAATGACGATTCAGAAGGATTTAAATTTATAGCTCCAAATCTTTATTCAATTCAAAAGGCATATCATCATTCTTTACTAAATAAGATTAAATTCACTGCGTCATAGTTTTCTAACAAAGGGAAGCAAATGAGAGCAGCAGTAGAGACAGAAAGCGGTCTCCCGTTCAAGAAGAAAAAGACGTAGCGACAGAGAAGCGTTTTTAAAGAAGAAACGTTAAAGCACTAGCAAATGGAAAAAAAAATATAAATCACAAAATTTTGATCCTGTAAAGTATAATTTATAAATATCAATGTTTTTAAATAAAGTTTTAATTTTTAGAGTCCTATTGAATTTTTCATCATTTCAGTCCAAAAGTTTTGTTGTTTGAGAGTTCACATAATCATAATTCTTCAGATAAGGTTTTTGTTATCACAGAATATCACAAAATAAAACTTTTACATAATCATTACTTATAATTAAATGTAACGCACATAAATATTTATGGTACTAATTTCCATACTGATAAGTTATATTTTAACACCATAAATATAATAGGAGTAACAGTTTCAGAAAAGAGTATTGTGCTTCACGTTAGTATTTTCGTATAATGTGACAAAATTCTAGTGATGTGAGATTGTATTCAATAATCAAGAGTGGTGCTTCAAATCTGAGTTTTGTGGAAACTGTATCGGTGCTTCAAAAATGGAGACAAGAGTTAAAGCCGCGATGTCAACCAATACGCAAGAATCAATAACCACTATTGATATAAGAAAATTCCAATTTGCTATTTTTGATGGATCCAAAAGTGATATTCCTGTCGATAATTACATTTTGCTATTTGAACAAAAATGCAACGCAAAAAATATTCAAGATAAGGACAAACCGCTAGTATTTTTTGAGTGCCTGAGAGGAGAAGCACTTGCATACTTTTTTCACGAGTGTTTAGACAAAGACTGGGAAGCAGTAAAATAAAAATTCAGTACATACTTCTCCAGTGTAGAGGTAGTGACATTTAATGACTTTGTATCTGTCACATACGAAAAATTTAATAATATTGACCTCTATTTCCGTAATAAATTAAGATATGGATCTAGTTTGAAATTGAATGATGCTACAAGGGTCGAAACCCTCAATCAGGGTCTTCCAGAAGCCAGTGCTTGCTACCAACTATTCAGAAAATAATACACCAAAAGGAAGGATTGAGATAACTGGCAAACTTTTCCCAATTTCAGTACCACTGGGCAGAGTAGAAAGTGCAAGAAGTGATTACAGATTTGTTGCTCCGAGGCAAACTCTATCTAGATATTCTGCTAGGCCATTTTAACCAAGGAGGTTAGAATAGAGTGAAGCTTGGCAATCCAACGACGACACAGAAGGATTTAAATTTATAGCTCCATATCTTTCAATTCAAAAGGCCTATCATCATTCTTTACTAAATAAGATTAAATTCACTGCATCAGTTCGAGAAAAATCTATGTAATATGACTCTTACGTAATTCTAGTGATGTAAATTGAACTAAAGCAGAAAATAATAATTTTACAGCAATATTAATTATCCAATCAAAATGCTTTGAGAACCAAAACTAACTCAATTTGACTTAAGATTTCATCCTGAACATCACGCACTATCTTTCTACGCGTTGCATTAGCCGGAGTGCAGTCTGTCTGCTTCTTTTTTGCTGCAAATCTATCAAAGATGTAAGCCCTTTGGAACAGGCACATTTAATGTGCCGACTTGTGTGTAGCCGTAACATGTTGCTGAAAATAAAACTGAAGATTTAATCTGCCTTCGCCTCCAATTTCCTAGTCATTATGGATCAAAACTTCTACGCTATCAAAATTCCTGCTCCTGAAATATAATTACATATATATATATATCTTTATTTATGATTAGAACATTATTTAAACGTAAAGTCATGAATCCTTTAAAATTTAATTTAAATGTTTTAATTTTAAGAGCTATTGTTTTGCGTGGAACTTGTTGTTATGTAACGATATAGCCCTAAGGCTGGTTCGAAGCCAACTTGACTTTTTTGGCCACCAATATATATACTACATTTATGAAGATATATCATACCGTACAATAATATTCTCACTTAATTTTTTTTTTCTAATGGCGGGCGCTTGCCTATGCCGACGCTGGCCACTCCTAAGGCCAGATGTGACGGTCTCTTTATTATGGAGGCACCTAATAGGTGGGCCACCTTTGCCTCCTATTAACGGACAGACATGCCTTCTCCGGGCCTTCGGTATCGCAGTCAGGCTCCCTTAACCATTATACCGTCTGGGCAGCAATTAGAGGTAACACTGTTGAAGGTTATAAGATCTGTGGCATAAACATTGCAAAACTGCAACTATGCCATGAATTGAGCATATTAAAGACGAACTGACAATTCACAAAGAGGAAGTGAGACGTCGTATTCATTCATGGCGGTATTTACCTCAGTAATCTTAGTTTTATTTATGCCACAATTAACAAAGAAACTTCGTAAAAATTTTTGTGTTTTATTTTTCAATTTATTGTGTTAAAAGTGTGATTACAAACGGCTGCCATAAATAATAAATCAATTTTAGAATTTTCTTCATAAATATGGGCGAAATTTTAGTATGAAAAAGTCAGAAAAGAGCACAGACATATCCTTCCGTCCATTGCTTCTTTAAAACCGCTATTTTGCATGAAAACAAAGCTGTCAATTAGCAAATGATAATAATACGTTCAAAAGTAAAGCTGCTGTTAAAAAACAAATTCTCAAACAAAGCGAATTTTTTTACGGCAAAGTAAAATCGCCAAAAAAATATCCGGATAGCCTCTTTATGACTGTTCACTTCAATGCCTATCGAATTAATTTTCACCTTTTCGTTGCCCTGCGTTGGCAACATGCTTTTGAGATTTGTCGTTCGTAGAATTCGGTCGCTAAAAGCGTAGCTGACCTGTAACGGTTGTAATTCTTATTTTATAGCTTATCTGTATTGATGAATTATTACTTAGTTTACGTGTGAATGTTTTATTATTAAATGTATTCAGTTTGATTTAAATAGACCGAGAGTGACTGAATATATTAAGAATATTTAAAGTCGAAACTGCGTCATCCATGTCGGCGCCATTTTAATACGAGGAACGTAAACAATGACCATGAAGCTCCTATTTTAACTATCAGACATTAGTGAATGGTCTCTGTAGCACGTAAGATGGGTTTTCACAAGGAGGTTAGAATAGAAGGAGGGAAGGTTCAACTCAAACGGTGAAGCTTGGCGGCCATCTTCCTGTTATCACCGTGACTTGTGCAAGGAAGTCTGTCATTGCAACATTTTTTTCTTTTCTTTTTGAAGCATGTCAGCTTGTGTTGCATATGGGTGCACAAATAGATTCTCGAAAAAAATTCTGGGCGTTATTTTTCACACGTAAGTATTGATTTTCTTTTTTTATTTTTTTTTTTTTGTAATACGACAACTATGTCAAAAAATATCACAATGTCATGTTGTTTTCTTTCCAGATGTGAAAAAAAAGGGACTTAAATAATCAAAATAGGTTACGTAATATAACTATAATCAAAATATGTTAAATACATTTTAATGTTTCTGTTTATAGCTGGTATCTTCGTTCCTTAAGATACAATGCTATATGGTAGGATTTAAATTGTATAACTTTGAGCATTTTAGGTAATTCGTTTTATAACTTTTCATGAAAAGTAAGAAATAATTTGTTACTATTTTTTTGAATTGTAAAGGTGTTAAATAAAGTAACGCTTTTGTTTATGTATTATTATTCATTTTTAAGTTTTGTGAACTGCTATGAATATAATTTGTGCACTTGATCAGGATAAAATGTTCTGTTAAAAATTGTTTGCATAAATTTACAAATTTCTGAGCAGTATAGTGATAAAATTAAGTAAAATATTTACACATTTGAATATGTGTAAAGATATGCCCAAAACTTTATATAGGTATAATTCTGTAATTCAACTTAATTAAAGGCAGTTTCTTTGAGATTAATAAATATGAAATGCGCATAAAACTGAATCAATGAATTCTGTTTTATTTATTAAGATTTA